GTGTGTGGGTCACTAGCACGCTTAACTTAGCTTATTCGCATGATTTGGCATCATTGGAGACCATATTTCAGTCTATAATCCATGATTGTATGCTTGCATTCATCATCCTTTTCACGCCTTGAAGAGGTGTCCTTTTGTGTCTTGAAATGGTCATTGTGTATGCTACCATGTTTAGACATTTGAGCTGCCATAACAGTGGGTTTTGGGACTCATTTTGGTGCATTGTAACTCTGTTTTTGGTTACATAGTCCATGCCATGAGTGGTTGGGGTGGTTGTAGTAGAATCCTCTTTTTTATGGCCTTGAATGCCCTTTGTTTTGGGCTCATTTCTTGGCATTTTTGACCACTATTTTGGGGCATGGCTAGGGCCTCCCATTTCGGTTCAAGTCCCTCCTTATACATATTTGCATGTTTGACAAGTTGCATTGGTGCATTGTTGCATCGCTTGCCATTACATCATGGTTTCATGCTTAGTAAATTGCAAGTTATTTAGCTAGTTGCATTTCATATCCTTGTTGCATGCTTGACATGTTCATGTTGCATTGGTTTAGCTTGCATGTTTAGGTAGTATTATATTGCATTGAGTTAGCATGCTCGTATTGCATTGCATTAGTTGCATTGCCTTGCATTGCATATGGCATACATGCATAGCATTATGCTTAGTTTGGGGTGTCAAACCAAGCATGAGGGGTGAGGTATGTTCGTACTCAAAGTAACGAAACACATCTCAACCCTCGGTCGCCGACGTCCTTGATCCCAACATGATAGGGCGTGTAGCACTCATGAGCTATGTTGCATGCATTTATATTGATTTGCAAACTTGGTGCCTTTGGCCATCATGCATCAAAATGCGTGATTGGTGGCCCGATGACCGAGGGCCATACTCCCTTGAGTCCATAGCATGATAGGAAGAGTGACCATGTACACACTGTTTTGGAAATTACATGCCATGCACTGTCTGTCCTCTGCTGCTGTCAAAACAGGACTCTGCAGGCACACATGGTCGACCGACCATCTCAATTGCCAACCGACCAAACATTGGTGGCCGAGATCTCAATAAATGGTCGATGACCCTTCTACCATGGTCGGTGATGTCCCCCCTTGGCCGGGGACCTTCCACTGTGATCAGAGAGACCCCACGTCTTTCTCCCTTTTATTTACCCGCTTATGATGGTTAGATTAGGCATGTTTCAATTAGCATACAGTATGATAGCATGTTTGCATTCATTCATCTGTTTTGCATGCACCGGGCTCGGTGCATCATACTAACTGCATTGTATTTTCAATTCCAAATTGAATACATGTTAGTTGTAGCATTTCATGTGCCGTGTTTAGAATAGCCGAGCCTGCTATAGTTGCATTTTTGCATGTGTTGCATTAGGCATTTCTGTATATTTAGGATCATGCATGATTTCTAATAAACTTCTTTTTTTAGCTTGGAGTACTCGGTGAGTTTTATGCTTTAGCATCCTTGCATGCGTGTGAGTGACTGCCATGAATAGCATGCTTACCATGAGGCTAATTGCTAATGTGATATAACTGCCTGAATGCCTGTGGGTGAAGGTTGGGTTATTTGGATTGGAACAAATCATTGACTGTGAGTTTTAAGCCCACTAGATAGTGGCCAAACCATGTTTTTTTCTAAGCCCACCTGAGGGTGGCAAAATCTGCATTTTAAGCCTACTTGCGAGTAGCAAACCATCTTTCAAAAAAACAAACATGAAATGTTTTGTTCCAATTCAGGCGACCCAGTCTATACTTGTATGCTGTGCGCATCACATAGTAACCTAGGCTAATAACCGGAATAAGAACACACAATGTTTTCAAAACTAGATATCATGGTTAGTAGAGGCCGATCTTTGATCGGGCGAGCGGGGGTGCTCACGAAGTGACCTTCCCCAATCGTACCCAAGTTCCCGAGTCGAGGCAACTTTGGTGATGACGGACACGTGGCCTTAGGCAAACGAGTCAGGGTTTCCTAAATTCCCCCAAAATAAAATATTTAGGTGGCGACTCTGTATCTGGCAAAGCAGTCCATGTTTGGCATTTCTTTACAAAAAATCTGTTTTCAAAAACGATTTGCCGGATTTGGACTCTTTGGTTCAGATTTAGAACCATGACAATTTGAGTCCTAAACTGTAGTGGGCCCAAACGAACAGAGCGTGATTTCCCTCCTGGGACGTTCAGGGACGTCTACACACGCATGCATTGCTTACATGATAGAGTCTTGCGCATGCCACTTTAGCATTGAAGGATAAGCATCTTGTTTGCATTGCATTGTGTTTGGATCGGACGTTAATCCAAACACAAGGAATGTCGCACGTTTCATACTCAAAATGATGAAACGTGTAGCATTTCTTGGTCGCTGACCCTCTCGATCAAGCATGATAGAGGTGGAGGCCCTTATGTGTTATTTGTGTGCATTCATTGACATTGACTTGTGCAAACTTGGCTTTTCGGCCATCGTGCATTGTGATGTTCAGTTGGTGGTCCGAGAGTCGAGTACCGCACTCCCTTGAGCTTGAGAAATGATAAGAAGGGTGGTTGTGCACACATATCTTTCAAATACACTGCTATGCCCCTTATTGTTCTCTATTGCAGCAAAACTGGAGTTTGGCAAATTTACTGGTCGGCCGACCAGTAGGGGTGGTCAACCGACCACTTTTTCTAGTCTACAACCAGTTTTTCTGGTCTACAGTCCTCTTTTCTGGTCGATAGCCCACTAGGAGGTCCCCATGTTGGACCAGAAGCAATCTGGAAGTTAGTGCACTTTTCAGAGACCAAATCAAATGCAAACAGAGGCAATTCTGGGCGTAGTAACGGATTTTTGAGCGAGGCGATCGAGCATGCATGCACCCCTTGCCCCGAGGACTTCTTTTAACTACTTTAGCTGCTTTATTTAGTTAGCCAATTCGTCGGTTTTGTACTTAATTAGTTAGTGTGCATAATTAATCGATTGTTTTGTAATAATTAGTTAACTAGGAATAGTTAATTAGTTTTGGTTTGTAATAAGTAGCTTAATTAGCGTAGCGAGTTAGCTCTCTTTCATTTGGACCCTCCGTCGAGGGGCAATTTTGTAATAAGCGTGCGTGTGTGTGTGCATGTCTTCCAACCCCCATTTCTTTCTCCCTTTTGCTTATCAACTTTTGATGGTTAGTTTAGGGCATATTTTAATTAGCATCCTTATGCTTGCATGGGTGCATCATTCATCTGTTTTGCATGCACCGGGCTCGGCGCATCATTCAAACTGCTCGTATTTCAATACTTACTTGAATACGTGTTTCAAACCATGTTGTCAATTGTTGCATTCATATGCCATCGTAGATAGCCGAGCCATTTTGTATGTGTTGCATTAGGCATTGTTGACATAGCTAGGATCATGCATTGATTTCTAACATAGCTTCTGTTTTGGCTCGGAGTACACTGTGAGTGTTTATGCTTTGGCATCCCTACATGTGTGTAAGTGACTGCTATGATAGCATGCTTTCCATGAGGCTAACTGCTTAAGTGTTAACTGCATGAATACCTGTGGATGAAGGCTTCATTACTTGAATTGGAACAATTCATCAAAATGTGCGTTTTAAGCACACTTGAAAGTGGCAAATCATGTTTTCTAAGCCCACTTGAGGGTGGCAAATCCGCGTCTTAGCCTACTTGAGGGTAGCATCTTTCAAACCATTTCCGAAAAACAAGCATGAGATGTTTTGTTCCAATTCTTGCGATTTAGTCTATACTTGTGTGTTGTGCGCATCACGCAGTAATGTTAGCTAATAACTGGAATAAGAACGCATGTGTTTTCAAAAACAACATATCATGATTAGTAGAGGTCGATCCTTTGATCGAGCGAGCGGGGGTGCTCATTTCATGACCTTCCCCCCTCGTACCCAAGTTTCCGAGCCGAGGTAACTTTGGTGATGACGGACATGTGGCCTTTAGAACGAGTTAGGGTTTCCTAAATTTTCCAAAAATAAAATATTTAGGTGGCGACTCTGTAATCTGGCAAAGCAATCCATGTTTGGCACTTCTTGATTAAAATCGATTTTCTAAAACGATTTGCCGAATTTAGACTCTTTGGTGATTTATCAGTCTTACATGGCACTTTGTGAGATTAGATTCAGAACCGTGATAAGAGTCCGAACTGTAGTAGCTAGAACACAATTCGCGCCCTCTCCGAAAGGGGGCGAGTGGAGCGAGTTCGGGCGGTCTACACAAGGCAATTGGGCACCTTTAACTCCCCGCATGGATACCGACAATACACAACTCTTTTCAAAATCGACTCTCTACCCAGACTCACATGCTATTTTCCACCTCTTTAAAACAACATTTCCAATGTTTCCACAAATTCCAAACATTTATACATCCATCAGAACAAGGGTAAATTTCCCCATTCAAATAATTGAACAATTATGGAGACATAATCTTCATATTTCAAAGGAAATTCTCAAAAGCTTTCAATTTCAAGAGTCTCATATCAAAATATATCTCAATCTCACAATTAAATCATAAATTTAAAGAATTGAAAGTTAATTCTAAGAAAAATCTCAAAGGCTTTGAAATTCATAAATTTCAAGTAATACATATTCAAAATATCATAATCCATTCATCAATTTAAAGATTTGAAATCAATTTCATCTTTTCTCAAAATTTGACAACTAGGGTTTTCATAAATTTGGGGCTTTTGCCCATAAACCATGTAAAATGCTATCTTCAAACTAAAATCTCCATAATCCATAGCCATTAATAAAAATCTCAAGAGAAGGTAGGGGAAATCTCATTTCTGAAACAAAACCCAATTTTGTAAACTCAAATTTTTAATTATAGCATCAATGGCACAATAATACCAAATAATCATCTTCAAAGTAAAGAAATACAAAGCTAAAAGTAATCCTACCTCAAGAAAAGAGCAAACAAAGCTAAAAGTAATCCTACCTCAAGAAAAGAGCAAGTGAGCAAGACTTCTAGGAGAATCCTTTACAAAACCAAGATCCAATCGGTTAAAAATGCTCATCATCACTTGTTCTTCATCTTTAATGCAAGATCCATGGTGGATTCTAGGTGAAAAATGGATACTTAAAGATAGTTTGGAAGGTGGGGAGAGATGGTTGAAGGAAAATGGGATACGGCATTTGACTGTCAACGAGGAAGAAAAGATCGTAAAGAATAGGGTATACATAAAGTGAGAAATTCAAGGATAGCACTTCATTTACATTACTCTCTGCAAAGGGAAAACAAGCTTATTAGAAATTAGTGAGTTTAGTTAGAAACCTAAGGAAGCATTCTTCCACACAGAATTCAGAAGTGAGTGCCCTTTAGACTGATTGGAATAAACAATGGTCTCTTTTTTTCCTTTCTAATTTCGTAGTCTCTGCAGGATGTGCATTTGCTTGCTATTAAATCACTCAAACTAACTGAAGATGTTCTAGCTTCAGTTACAAAAACACGTCCTCAGTGGGCACGTCTACTTTCAGCTGTTGATCACAGAGTAGATCGAGCATTAGCCATTTTAAGGCCCCAGGCAATTGCAGATCACAGGGCCCTTCTTACTTCACTTGGATGGCCACCACCTTTGTCCATGTTGAATTCCTCAGATTCAGATGCAAGGAAACCAGCTGAAGTGCAAAATCCTCTTTTTACAATGCAAGGGGACCTCAAGCATCAGTACTGTGAAAATTTTGTCGCATTATGCAGCCTGCAGGAATTGCAGAGACAAAGAAAATCTCGGCAACTAGCGGGGCATAATAGGGAAGTTGCCCTGCACCAGCCACTTTGGTCTATTGAGGAGCTGGTGAACCCTTTAGCAATTGAGGCGCTTATCATCTGCGGTTGATCGTTCTCGATCAGTGCCAACCATTTATTTAAGGTCAAGGTTTTTATCCGATTGTCTGGTGTACCTCTTGTACGCAAATTTTTGGATTGTTTATTTCTCAGATGCCAAGAAGCCGAGGGCCTGACAGCCCTGACTGATGATGATGCTTTAATCAAAGTTACAAAATCCATTAATGCCGGTCACTATTTTGAGTCCGTTTTGAAGGAATGGTGTGAAGATGTTTTCTTTCTTGAGATGGGATTGAAACATAGTGATGAATTGGCCGAGATTATATGAAGAACAAGAAGCAATGGCAAGAAAAGGGTGAAGTAGGTTGGGCAGTATCTAAACAGTTCATTGCAGCGCTTGATTATCTGCAAGGAAAAATGTCGGTTTTGGATTTAACTTTTGTGGCTTTGTATATAAGGTAGTAATTTTTTGATTGAGAATTGTGAATTCAATTTTTGGATATGTTATTTTGTGGGTAATGGTGATTGGATATTAAAATGAATGGGAAAGTGAATTAATGTTGTATTTGCTATTTGAATGAGAGTTATTATTTCATATTAGTGCTATTTAGTTTTATTAAAGGTGTTCTTTTAGCACAATTTAAAAAAAAAAGAAGAAGATAAGACGGCATTTCTAAATACGTCACTTTCATATTAACGGTTGGAATTTTTAAAATTAAAAAAACCTATGAAGGCGTTTTAAAAACGTCGCTAAAATCATACTGACGTCACAGTATTGTTAGGGCAGGGTATTTGGCGGCGTTTTTAAAAACGCCGCCTATACTAATACAGCGACGTTTTCCAAACGCCATAAAGTTATAGCGACGGCCGCGTCATCGGCGTTTGGTATTAAACGTCACAAAAAGAATTGGCGACGTTTTTGGTACCTATAGCGGCGTTTTTTAAACGCCGCTAAAAGCCTAATTTCCAGCAGTGTATTATCTTTTACTGATCATGTTTCTTTTATTGGTATATTATGAGTATAAATGGTTGTGGACTAGACTTTGTGCGGTAAAAGGAGAATGATTTCTTTTAATGTGGTAGATTTTTGTATATGCTTTAGCTATCAACTTATCCTTATAATTGTTGTTTTTTTATTTTTTTTTTTGTTACTTTTAGGTGCTGTAAATTGAATTGTACGAATACAAATTGGTTGGTTTCATCTAATAAATATTTGATTAATTATATTTTATGGGTTAGGTTATTCCTTTTGACTGGTTTACATTTACTTGTAGAAAGTTACAATATTATAACCATTGAGTTTCCATGCAATGTTACAAATGGGAGTTTGGTAACTATATAAGATTTTTTTTTCTTTTTCTTTTTTCATAAAAAAAAAAAATTAAATAAAGAGAGAGAGAGAGAGAGAGAGAGAGATTGGAATATGATTGTGAATTATTTGTATAGTTTACAAGTATGATTTATAAATTCTTATTTTATGAAAGTAAAATCAAGCTGCGTGTGATATTTTTAAAGATGACAAATATTTGGGATATTTTTCAAGTTTTATACAAGTGTAAGGAAGAAAATATCTCTTGAAAAAATGATTATTTGTGTACTAGCTTTATAAAGGTTTATAATGTGGTGTGAATGAGATTATTTATATATTTACAAATTCTCATTTGTGAAAAGGAGATCAAGTTTTTTGACAGGCTTCTAAAAAGATTGTTTGTGGTTTTCTAAGAGAGAGAGAGAGAGAGAGAGAGTATTTTAAATTCGAAAAATAAAACAAAATTAGTGGTTCTAGGTAGGTGTGAGACCATTGGCCACATAGATGGAAATGGTGGTTCCTAATAGATGAAGAGACTATTGACCATATTGTATAGTTCCTAATAGTAGGCTACTGATTGTGAAAATTTGGTCATTGATTATTAAGATTTGGGTCAAATATATTTGAAAGATCCAATATGCCTCAATTTAATGTTGCCTTGATTCGAAAAAAATACAAGGACCATATTTGCTTGATGGGTCCATGTTGCCTTGATGAAAAATTGGATATATTTGCATGATGAGTCCAATTTGAAGTGTTTACTTGATGAACCCTAAAAGGGAAAATTGTGGCACACAATAAATAAGAACGACTTTATTATGAGACACTCCATGTGATGGAGAAAATTATTGACGATTTGAAGCTCGAGAAGCTCAAAAAAGTTTATGATTTGTGAAGTCAAATATTGAGGCAAATATAAATTTTAAAAACTCAAGGAGTAATTGCCTCTAGACTAGTGAGGCTAGATCCATGTTTATTTGTTGATGGGGATGGGCTATAAGCCCTAAGGAAGTCACCTAAGGAAGTAGCCCAACCTCTATGATTGGCAACCCTATGAACGAGGTTCAGTGGGTAGTAACAATCCTTAAAGCGTAACTTAATTCCAGCACTTTTTAATACGCCATAAAAGTGGTTCTCCTACCCATCCATAAGGCAACAATGCTAATGATAGGGGTGATCACGGATCGGGTTAGGTTAGGTGGTATCCCATCCGTCATCCGTTCGAAATTAGGCGGATTAGAAAAAAATCAATCCGCATTCATCCTCTAGTTTGGCAAATGTGGATTAAACAGGCCATGTGGGTTGACAGATAGATGTCATTGGTTTAGCGGTTTAGACTTTACAAATTTTGGACATTTTCTTGAATTATAATTCATAACTTTTACAATCTCCAATAACTAGTAATATGAAAATATATATATTATTTGTCTATAATAGGCTATGGCAGCACGCATGCATATTTTTAAGTTATTGTTTTCCATTTTTCAAAAATATGTATTTTATTATTTTTAATCTATGTCGTTACTTGTTAGCAGTTTCTTTTTTTTTTAATCTTTTTTTGAACTTCATTTACGGGCAGATTGGGTTCATGCGGGATGCGGGATGGTTGATCCTTCATCCGAATCGTATACTTGAATTTTGAAATATTTCATCTGTATCCATCCGCTGAAAGACACACATTAGTCCAAAATCAATCGAGTTGGGTCGGTTCGAGCAGGCTGGGTGGATCCATAACCACCTCTAGCTGATGAGTGACTGGCTAGGAAAAGTTTTACCCTGAATGAATCCAAGGCAGGCAATTTCCTGTAAGGTGCATTCTGTCACTATACCTTTGGAGGATTTTACTAAGTGGGAACCGTCGTGAAACCGCAACCATGGGACTTGGGTTAATCTCTAAAATTCCCATGAGAATCAAGATCAAAGTGCACGGCCATTAAAAGTACTAACCCGCGAACTATTGTCCAATATCAGTGTTGTGTGTGTGACAAGAGTTGACCTTTGGTCTAAAGAGTTTAGTTCAAGACTTAGTTTATTATGATTCTTCAGAGGGAAACTGTTAACACTAAGTGATGTTCAATTCCGGAAGACACCTACATCTATTACGTAGTAAATGTTGCCCTTATTTTATATATATTATTTTATATTGTTTTGGTTGTAGTTTTGGAATGTGAGGGTATGCTACAAATTTTGTGAAAATATTAAAACTATTTATTTTTATTAAAAGTGGGGGACCGTTGAGATATTTTAATAAAAATATCATTATATCTATTTAGCATTATTACAAAATTAAAACTTATAGTTATTGTGTTTAATTCCAAAACTGTTCAAGTCAAATATGGGTTAATGCCTTTTATTATCAAATTTATTAGTGTCAATTAACATGAAATCTTTTTATTAAAAGAATATATATTCCTCAATGTATTTCTCATTCTATATACAGACATATGGTTTCTAAAGGGAGAGGTGGAGAAGAAAGAGTGATTTAAAAGATAAGAGGCTTTGGAGAAAGTTATCTTTATTTTGTGTTTATATTATATTGTTTTGGGCAACTCTGGTTTGTAACTTGGTTCAAGCCTCCTGGTGTAATGTCCCCAAATTTATTAAACTAAAACATCACTCCTAATCTGATTAATTTGACATCTTTCCAAACCAATAATAACAAGAATCTCAAAAGTCCTCTTTTCCATATTAAGTATTACAATTTTCATGTTCTCATCCTTGTAATAACAACATTTACATAATCTAAGAAACTAGAAAATAAAAATAATAATGTCTTAATGGCGTACAAACAACGCGGCATAGCCTTGGTACAACAAAATGGACACATGGTCCCAATACACATTAGCCCCGAAGCTTCAACAATTATCAATCAATGAGCCCACGTGCTCTGTTCAAAAATCTTCACTGCCTTGTCACTTGGGCAGAATCACGACAACAGTTCTTGAAATGTTAGATAGGAATGAGCTAGATGCCTAGTAGAAATACTTTTAACAAAGTATCTAATTATCTGAAAATCCATGTGGCATTATCACAGCCAAAACATTTTTCTGTTTAAACACATGATAAATGTTTAAGCATCAAAAATCAAATATTATCATTTCCATGAGAAATCACATTCCAAAACTGAGGATAAATTAGCCATGAAGTCCCTAAAGAGAGCCCCAGTACATACATACATATATATAGTTTTACATCCAAAATACCCCCACATTTACTAACTATTATACGACAGGATGTGGGCACCCAAAATCATCCGTTTTTTCACTTTTGCCGACTACAATCCGGCAGGACCAGTGGACACCCAAAAACATGTTCTCACATTCGTCCAACGATAAGCCTAGACAGGGTGTAGAAACCTCATTTTTGACCGACCTTAAGACTCAGACGTCATCGTCTGTGCACTCGGTGATTGTGCATGTTTGTGCTCGTTTTGAGTTTCCAGAGCCTTCGACTGAGCGCCTTGTCTCAGGACCTCTTAACTTTCTCCTCTTGGCCTGGTTTTTGGACCATGCCTTGCTACCTTTGCCTAGAGGGAGACAGAGGCCTGTAGGCCACTTTTTGTAAACGTAGGCTACATTTTCCTCTTGTAGGCCACTTATAGTGGCCCGTAGACTATTTTCGGGGCTTCCAGCTGAGTGCCTTGCCTTGCGCACTCTTGTCTTTCTTCCTTTTGGTTTGTTTTTGAACCAAACCTTGTTACCCTTTGCCTGGAGGGTGGAACAGGGGTGTAGATCAGTTTTCCC